CTGCTTAAGTTTTAATCTGTTACCCCTTGTCTTACCTCTACAGCCCCTGATGAAGAGTCCCTCTCCAGCATCCTTGCAGGTCCCCTTCAGATACTGGAGGGCTGCTATGAGGTCTACACACAGCCTTCTTCAGGCTGAACAGCTCAAATTTTCTTGGCCTGTCTGCATACGGGAGGCGCTCCATTCTCCTTATCATTCTCATGGCCTCCTCTGGACTTATGATATTGAGGCAGACAAAGCAGTAATGCATGCCTCTGTCTTGGCTTTATACTTTACTCCAGACACTGGTTACTGATAGGAGGAGACAAGCTTTGGGACTGGATGTTCTCATTCCTCATGAGCTGGGTGGATTAGCTTGTTCTAGAAGTTTGTTCTACCCTAGCTGCCCAAACCCACTGTTTAATTTGTCAGAGGGTTTCTTACAAGCATTGTAAGATGCATCCAGCTTTACTAGGCTGGTTCCTCATGGGCCAAGGGCCTCACATACGGGTTCACCAAGCCACAGTGGTGTATGAATGGGGGAAGCACAGCGATGTGAGCCAGCAGTGCTCCCAACTAAGCATTTACACATATGGGCTGGTGCACTGCTGTTCATCCTTCCTTCGGAGTGATACCAGCCCTGCTTTGTGCTTGAAGAGAGTGAGACATGTCCCTGCCCTGTTCTTTGTGCCCTGGGAGGGGTGACCAGCTCCATGAGCTAATGAAGCCAAAGACAGACAGACAGCAGTTGACAGATGCTGCTGAAGTGGGCTCAGAGGAGAGCAAAAGAACAACTCAGAGGCAGAAATTAAGAGATACAGATCTGCAGCCCATGTGCCTCAGCATAAACCTTCTCCTGCTGTGTTGCGATGGTCATCAGCGGAGTTAACCTTCCACTCTCATCACAATCATTAAATTCCTGCTAACGCCCCTGTCCTATGTCTGTCCAAACAGCTCTGTTAACTGTCACCTCCCCACACGGTGAGACTGGCTCCCCACTGCAGCAGCTCTCATTAATGCTGCTCTGGCTGGCTGATGAGGCAAGCGGCAGCTGGCTCCAGAGCCCAGATGAGTTTTGTAGACAGCAGGGGATGTTTATCCAACATGGAGGGGATGAAAGTACAAACAAAGAGAGACCGTACAATTACTCAGGCATCGCGCAGGGCCGGTCTCATTAAAGACGGTCTCCGTGACAGGAATTAATCTGAAGTGACAACCCAGTGAGCTAATTTAGCAAATGGGTCTGGGGCTTGGCCCTGTGCAAATTTCAGGGGTTGCTCCAGCAGGTACAACTGAGCCTGCTCCGAGGACGGGAAAGGCAGGAATGTGTTAAATTGGCCCCGTTCTGGCCTGAGCCTGTGTATTAGAAGTTATGGAGGAGACAGCAGCCCCAGGTCTCCTTGAGGGGCACAATGAAGATTAAACTTCTCTATTGCACCAATACCTTCTCCTCCTTTCTCCTGCAGCCTCAGGTCATGGACGGGTTCCAGCTCATTAAGTGCACAGTAATTCTGCCCCTATTCCCTGTAACTGTAACCGCCAGCCCAACTCAGATCTTTCCTCCATGATGCAACCTGCTTGCAATATTGGACGGCTTTTCATTTCTCTTTAATGTTAAAGCAGAGCCCTGGGAAGGGCTAATGCACACAGAGAGAAACAAGCAACTTAAAAGGCTTTTTATTTTTTAAGCAAAGATCCGGTTTGGGGAGGCTGCTTTGAGTACCCAAGCAATGAATAATATTTTCAGCTGGAGTGCGGTGCCCCGATGCCTTTCTATGCTATGAGAATACATGTAATTAAAAAAGATGACCAAACAAGTAGCCCAAAAGCCTCATGGCATCTGCCCGCAACTAAACCACCAAAGGCTCCCTGAGTTCACTGGCTAAAGGGAAGTAAGGTGATTGGCATTTTGATCAGCTGCCTTGGAGCAAGGAAGGAAAAACCTCCCAAGCTGTCAGGACGGATGTCTGAGGCCTCTGCCACTCCTCAGAGGGGATCTACTCCTCTCTGAATTGCCTCACGAATTGAATCTGCTCCTCAACACAATGCCACTGTCTAAGCACACCTGACTGATGAACACTGGGAATTAAGAGCCTCTTTGCCAAGACATACATCTGAGGCTTTACAATGAGCCTGCTCCACATTGCTATCGTATGTGCTTTGCCTGGGTCAGTGGCTCCAAGCTGTCAGGCTGTTTATTTGGTTTTAATCAGAAGTTAATTCTCATTCTACTGGAACTGGTACGTCTGCTGCACTGCTCAACCTGCTCCACAGTGGCAAGAACAATCAGCTCCCGTGGAATTGCACCCAACTGTCTCACTGGGAGCCCCCATGCATCGCTTAGGAAACCAAATTCCCCCAGACTGCTTGCAATCCTCCCAGGAATGCCCAAGCCGAACCAGACCTCAGAAGCTGTTGAACAGGAAGAGCTGGAGGAGCTACAGCACCAGCCAATTAATAAGCAGCACTTTTACTCTCACCCAGACCCATTTTCAGCAGCTGCAGCAAGCAAATTTAATTGAAGGGCTCCCAGGTGCCTTGCAAAGCATCCTGCTACTTGGGGATCTTCACATTACATATGCCAAGAGCTCTTCAAGCGAACCAGGGAAAGTGAAATGAAAAGCAGCAAACCATTTTACAACCAGTGCACATCCCAGCTCAGCAAGAGTTAATCCCCTCAGACAGCCCCTCACCACTCCTAGACTGCAGGCTCCTGCCACCACATTCATTCATCCTTCAGATGCTGAAGAGCACCTGCCAAGGACCACTGAAGCTGAGGAGCTCCCAGGGCTGGAGAAGAAGGTGGGCTAGCTGGCTGGGTAAGCTTTCATTAGCTTGATGCTGGTAATAAATCAGTAGTGTCTGGCTGCATGTAAGGCCTGTTTTATCTGAGGAGAACATTCCACTTCAATCCTAGCTCTCTAGGGGGATTTTTGTACCCCGGAAGCCAGTGCCTGGAAGGCAGTGTATCCAGGGAGGAGGGCACACAGGCAAACAGCAGCTCCTCATTCAGGCAGACAAATCCCCTTTCTTAAGAGCTCTCCAGTCAGCAACATTTTTAAGCTTTTGAGCTTTTCACAATTATATTCAGTAATGTCACTATGCTCTGCAGTCCAATGATGGAACAGCAGGATACAAAGCTTAGCCTAGGTGCCCCAGCACGGAGAAGGTGCAACAAGGCAAATAAGCCTGTGAGACAGGGAAGAGGGTGATGGCCCAAGGAAAATAGTGAAAGCTCAGATGTCACAAGGCTGCTTGGAGCCCAAGTGAGACATCATGGGCAAAACATCAGGAACACAGGACAAGGAACACAGAGGCAATGCTGGGAAGCAGCAGGCTGGAGATGAGAAGGGATGTGATCCACATTTTCATTTCATGGAAATGAAAAGGGGTCAGAGAGATCTCAGTATGGCACATGGAGATAGAGACCTCATCATGAAATGCAAGTGTCTTCACTGGAGGGAGGCAATGAAGAGATGATACCATGAAAGCCTTTTCCAGAGTGTTTCCTACTTGTGCTTGATAAAGTGGTAACAAATCTCCCCTGCTTCCTCCTCTCTCTGCCTTTTGTTACTCAAACCAAGGCCAGCACGATGGCACCTGTAGCCATTGCTAAGAGCCTGCCCATACATGAGACTGGGCTACAGCAGGGCCATGGTGTATCAGTCCTCTAAAACACACTGCTCAATACTCATAACTGTGTGGTGTAGCTGATGGGGTTATAACAGTAGTAACTGATGGGGTACGAACAAAACCAGGGGGGTTAAATTTCCATGGGCACTCAGCTTACTTCATGTCATAACTTAAAGCAGAAATGTGATTTTCCTTTCTCTTGATCGCTTTCAGTAGAAGCTCAATGCATAAAAGATATAAGATTACTTCTAGGCACCTTGTAAAAGGAGAAAAAAAAACAACAAACCCCTCAACATCACTGGAGAAGGATAAAAATCACAAATTAGTTCATGGAGTTGCAGTGCTGATAATAGCGAAACTTGGCTCAGAGGGAAGGGGTTCTATGACAAACTGCCTTCATTATTAGAGGCTCCCCTGTGTCCTGTATTCTTATTAAGCACTTCCAATGTGCTCTACACAGTCTGAGTAACAAACAAAGGCTGTCCCACCCCAGAGAGCTCACAATCAAACAGAGACATAAAACTGCAGCCTACTGTGCAGAACTAGAGGAAAGAGACACTTGGATCTTTTTAATTATTTTGTTTTTTATCTACAGTAACAAACTTTTCCTCACAAAAAACATTTGCTTCCAAGCTACCACTGAATGACAAGAACCACCAATTTTATGTGTCCTCATTTTTAAAAAATGTTGAACACAGCCATTTGCTGAGCTTGGATGAAAGTACCTTGTAATCCTGCTAGGTTAATGTGCTCTTTAAAAACACCAGACTCTTTTTCCCTAGCCTTCTTCAACCAGTCATCTCTCTAGATTCCCCTCAGTTTTCCCTCCTCATCCCCGCATATGATTTCCCTTCAGACTCAGAAACCTTGAAACCCACTTCTCTTCCCCTGCTGAGTTTATATAGTCTAAATAGCTTCATTACTGTGACAGTACGAAAGCCTTTCTCCAACACAAACAGCTGATGACTTTTTCCTGCAGTTCCTGCCTGAAGAGCTCTTCAGCTTACTCTCTTTATTTCAAACAGGTGAGGAGTATGGAATTCCACTTGCTTGAGTCTTTGGCATATAGAGTCTACAATACCTACTAATGACCATGGGGTTTTGTTCACATTAAAACCCCATTCAAAACACTGAGCATGAACAGTCTGATGGGAGGCAGCAGAGCCTTGAAAGCCCTTGATTGTACCCTACACCAGGTGTAAAAGCAGATGCAGAGGTGTACAATTGGCCTGTCTCTTCAAGTCGATGAGGAAGGTGCAAGACCAAGAGGATCTGGCAATTTCATCACCTTCAGCTCCTCATTGGCAAGAAGACATTGATGCAACTGCATCCTGAGAGGTCCTCTTCCCAAAGGCATGTGTTGAGGACTTCAGAAGAGCAGATCTTACCTGCCGGACTTCCAGGCGGTACTTGAGGATGGGATCCACAGCATCAGGCTCCTTCTGTGTCCACTGCAAGATGTATGAGTAATTCTTGGATTGCTTCTGGCTCAAGGTGGGGTTGGGAGTGTCATAGTAAAACTCTGGGCTGTAAGCCTTTGCTGGAGGGGAAAAAAAGAAAGGGGTGGAGGAAAGTAAAAGTATGGGATAAAGGGGAACATAAATTACAGAGAGACACAGTGAGAGTGGAACAGTTCCATTTGCCCAGCTCATCCACTTGCCTTTGACGTGATGAACACTTTTACTATTGCAGCCGGTGTTGCACTGATGCACCATCATTTTCTGTGAATCATGACTGCTTTCAGAACCTAAACTACTGGGAAGGTTAGCAACCCTGCAACACCAGCAGGGCTTGACTGACACCAGAGAAGGTGGGAACAACTTCAGTTCTCCAGACAGAACCAGCTCTAATATTTTCTGTCTTACTTTGTAGTTTAGATTGAGGTAACAGCTTTAAACAGGTATTTCTCCTGTTTCATCTGCTGCTTTATGGAGTCTCCTGCTAACAAACCATGAGGAAAGATCATCTGGCCAGTAGGTCATAGGAAAAGTGTTATTTATCACACAGGGACCATAGCATTAAAAAGGAGACCTTGCTCCTCCTGCATCAACCCTGCCTTGGCAACACAGTCCTCCAGCCTCTTTCTAACATGACAGTCAACTCGGCAGCAAAGGGGATGCTGACCTCAGCCTGGGCAAAAACAGCAGGAGCTTTTGCAGGGACAGAGATGTCTTTTCTAAACCTACATCTCCCCTTAAAAACAGAGGGCAGCAGGAGGAAGGGAAACATGGGAGAAATTATGTACCAGAGAGAAACTGGATAGTTCAAAGAAGGGATTTCCTGTCATTTCCCCAGCCGCTGCTGTCCTGAATCTCTACCAAACAGAATTCAAATGCTGCTGCCATGCAGCCCAGTGGCTGATGGACTAATGCACAGGGCCCAGAAGCAACTCAAGAGCTTACCCACAAATGGTTTTGCCCTATTTGTAATTACCTTCATTTCACCCTGTGAACTTCAATTTTTGGCAAATCCTGTCCTGGCAGGAGCTGGACCTGAACCAAACCTCTCCATTCTGGATTCAGGTCCAATCTGGACCTGCACAGACCAGAAAGATGCCTGGGCAGCAAGGGGTGCTGGAGAGCAGAACAGGCATAAACATCATCTCCCCAGGCAGTTTGCTGCACCTTTCCACTTGAATCACAGGACCTGCCATTCTGTGTGGTTATAATTAGCCTTGACAAGATTCAATGTTTATTTTTTATTAACTCGGATAATATTGATGTTTATTTTCAAGTCCTTTTTTTCTTATTATTTTTATTGACTTGGATTTTTGCACAAGTGAGAAGTTCAGAACCACCTCAAAGACTAATTGCTGCTTATTCAACTTGTATTGACTGTGGAAGTCAAGCTTCATAATAGATTCTAATACAATATCAGAACTGATGATAATCATCCTCTTGCATGATATTAATTCCTTATTAATTGACTTCAAGATAGAAACAGAAGCTAAAAACCAGCATTCAAATAGAAACAAAGCACATCAAAATACTTCTGGAATTCCCTTTCCAGCAACTTAACCATTGATGGGAAGTTTTCTCTTCTGCTTACAGCTGATGGGAAGAGCTAAAGGTTTTTCAGTCCATCTTTCAGGGGTTTCCTGTGCTTGTGGCTAGTGAGAGTGCAGGTGGGGATCAGTATGGACTGCCCTGACAACTTGCTCAAGAGGATGGGATTGGATGTCTCACTGTCCTTCCAAAACAACTCAGAAAGTTAATCTCCCACCACAGAAGAAACTAATCCCACCCTGGTCAGATTTACGCACTGTTTCCAGTACACCTGAACACCTCACAGTCACAAATGAGTCACTCACTCCCTGTCAGATAGGAAGGTTTATGATACTTCTTTCATAGAGAAGAAACAAAAAGAGACTGTGCCATCCTCCCTGCTTGTACTGGAAGGCTGCGGCTGACAAGAATTACAACTGCAGCCCAAGCGCAGCAGTCTACCTACTGGATTATTTTTCAGGTTGCCCTACGAGCTCAGAAGGTCTAATTGATTTCTAACTGTCCAAGACACAGGCAGAGATGTCTGGAGGTGAAAAGGTACCATCAGATACCAATGCTATGGAAACAGAGAAGGGAGGAAGGAAAAGAAATGCTTGCTGCTTTCCCAGTGAGTGGTTTCTAGGGATGAACGCTGCTTTCCGCTGAGGGGATCTTGTGGTGCACAGCATGGCACATCAGGTGGCAATGCATTTGTTACTACTTCCAGCAAGAAATTCAGGTCCTGGGAGCATTCCAAAGCTTGCTAGGGACACAGTTTGCTGTGGCAGCTGAAAGCAGGATATGGTTTGCATCACTTAGTGACATGAGAGTTGCAGGCATGTGAAGAAGGGGTAGAGAGGGACAAAGTTCTCAAGCAAAATCCACTGCCAAACAAATTCCAGCAAATCTCAAGGCAAGGGAGCAAGGTCCTGAAAACGGACCCAAACAGTATAAGTGGTTTGGACTTCCCCATTTCTGAGCATCACAGAGTTACAGCATACCTGAGCTTTTCCAAACCCTTGGAAAGATCTGCTTCAAAACCAGGCCTCTCCAAATGTTATTTATACTCCTTTGTTCAGCCCTGACTCGAAAAATATTATAAATTGGCCCTAGACTGACAACCAGCATTTTGGCTGAATTTATGGCTTATTAAGGCAACTTCACTGGAAAACTCTTCTAGAAACTGGTGCTCAAGTCAACGCTGGGGTCATGGAAAACTCAGGTTTAATGATAGCTGGAGAGACTAGGTCAGATGTGTGGTTTTAGATGCTGTAACTCTGCCATCCCTCTTTGCAGGTATTGGAGAGGAGTCCTGTTACGGTGCCTGCTGGATTCACAGAACACTGTGAGCAGCAAATCCACTGAGCATAGTACTCACTCCCAGCTCATGTTTGTCCCAGTGGGCACCATGAAACGCAGGCAGATAGCAGACGTAAAGAAGGTACAGGAACACATCATACAGTTTTTGTTTGTTTGTTTGTTTTTAAAGGGAAAATTAGATAGAAACCTGTTAGGAGGATGTAGAGAGCCTTTCACTCCCCCTTGATCAATACCTGTCTACAATAGAGGCTGTCCAAGCTTGAAAACTGGTGGTATAGCCTTGAGTATCTTTCAGGCAAGTGGTCAAACACTGCTACAGTGTACCAGTGGCTGGCACTAACTGCCCCAGCTCCATCCCAGATTTGAAGAACCCGATTGAGGCAGGTCTCCCTGTTTGCTTATGGAAATTCATCTGTTCTGAGCACAGCACTATGCTCAGGGGAGGCAGTAGGGGTTGCCTGTACCGGCACTAGTTTATGGGAGCAAGCTTCCCCTCTCCGCTATCCCATCTAACAGCTCACCCCGATGTGCACTCTATGACTTACCGGACACCTGGAAGAGGCAGGTGGAGACCCCCACGTCGTTGGAAATGCTGCACTCATAGCTGCCGCTGGTCTCCCGGCTGACACTGTCCACCTTCAGCTCCGAGTAGTCCTGCTGCTCTGCCAGCGGCTGCGCCAGAAGGGACCCGTTGAAGCGCCAGACGGAGGTGGCCACCTTCATGGGACTGCCCTTCAGCATGGTGCAGCGCAGGGTGACGCTGCGCCCCATACCCTGACGCACGTCCTGGAAGGGTGGCTCCACCACAGGGGGGACTGGGGACAGAACAGAGCAACAGACAGGGATGCCATCAGGTAACACACATACCTTGTTAAGCACAGTCACCACAGGGGTGCCTCTGAGGGGATAAACAAGAGGATATTGATTTTCTAGCAGGAGCTAGGCTTCATGAAGCCTAAAGCAGCAATAGTCATCTGACATCCCCTTCTGATTGGGCTGGGGCCACCTCTCACATCCCTCCTATTTACTAGGTAGGGGTGGCCTTTAGTAGGTACTGATCCCACACTGAGACACTGCTCGGAGCAGCTACCAAGCCTTGATCTTTCATGTGAGAAGTGCAGCTCCAGCAGTTGTGTGCCACAGCTTGCAGCCAGTCCTCAAATATTAATCAGAATAACCATGGTCCTCATACCCAGTATAAACTGCACTCCCTGAGCAGGCAGATATGCTCCCAAGCAGTGACATTCATGTTCTTCTGGTCAACATTCGACACGGTTATCTTCAGATGAAGGGATATACACTAACTGTCCCCACAGAGCACAGACCTCAAGGGGTGTTAGAAGGCCTCTCCCAAATACATCAACACAATAGGGACTGGCTACAGGTACTCTGGATCTATTTTTACCTCTAGCAACAATTCCCTTACACTGGGAGGTGAGTCATGTGTCTCCATGTCAGCTTCTCTACCAGTAGTGAGAACTGTTATGTGTTGCCACCTCCTATGTAAAGGGAAGCTACTACGTCTTCTTCTTTAACACTTGTAAAAATTCACAGGAACCTCACAACTTGGGCATTGTTGGGGCAGAGCAAGAAGACTGCTCTGGACTGGTATTGCTTGTGTTACCCCTTATTTGGTGCAATGGCAGAGGACTTCAATCTTCACAGCCGTCTGATGAACGTGTTTCACTTGAAGTAAACAATTAAAACACTACAGCACAGGAACAACCAGAAGCTCTTCCTCTAAAATGAGAGGAACTTCCTGAGCACAAAACAGCTGTTAGCCTGAATGTAACAATTTATAGCACCTCCAGCACAATCACAGCTCACCTTGTCCAGGTTCAAAGCATCTCTCTTCCACAGAAAATTCTATGCGCTACAGATCTACAAAGCGCCTGCCTCCTCTAAAGGTCCACAGAGCTGTCAAGCAGAGACAGGCTCAAAGACCTGCAACACACAGCATCTGCAATACCACAGACACAGCTCCACCAGGAACAATGGGTTACGCAGCCTCCCTGCTGCCCTGAACATAAGTGTGCCCAGAGAGCTCCAGTACACCAGTCACTCCCCCCCCTGTAGCCTGACCCAGCAAGACCCATCTACAGCTCCATCTCTATCTTCACCACAGATGAAGGCGGTACATGCACCACCCCATTGGTCTGCGTGCACAGTGTCCCCTCTCCCAAGGTCTGCATCTGGGGGTACGCAGTGTGCAAGCATCCCCTCCACCTGACAGCTCTTGTTTGACAGTGGCTGATTGTTTTCTAGGTACCTGTTCCCAACTCTCAGCCTCCAGGCCCTTGGCTGCACTTAAGTGGATTAAAAACAGCCCTTGACTGAGCTCATGTTGCCGTGCTGAGTGGCATGGTCAGCTCATTACAGATGGCTTTGCTAGTGATGTGTCTCTGCGGGTGCTCCAAGTGCTGACTTGCCTTTGGCTCACACGTCTCCCACCTCACAGTGAGAATAATGTGAGAAGTTGTTTGATTAGACCTAGTGCCATGAATGTGTCATCTCCATCCCTAGCTGCTATCCCATTTCTTGGGTCACATCTGCTCCTTAATTGAAGTCGGTGGGGTCTCACATTATAATGAAGGTTAGCTGGTGATGTAGGGGGGGAAAAAGGAAGAAAAAAAAATAGAAAAAGGGGAGAGAAAGAGAAAGAAAGGCTTAAAAAATGGCACAGCAGCTCCAGATTTATGCAATGCAATCTATCCAATGAGGAGGACAGAGAGGGTTGGAGAGCAGTTTCCCTCACTGCATCTCTATACAGAGCTGGGACAGGGAAGAGAAAAGTCTGAAACTGCACAAAGTGCCCTCTGCAAGGACACATGCTGCAAGGAAAGTGGCCTCCTGGACCACACCAAGGAAGTGTCTGGGGCTGGTAAAGGGCCACAGAGGAGTAGGGGTGGGAGACTCCAGATGCTTCCTTAGGTCACAGAAGCAGCAGGGCAGCCAAGGATGCAGAAGATATTTAATCTTCTTCAGCTGGGAAACGGGATTTACATGATTTACACGGGGACAGGCTCTGGGCCTATGTTATCACCTTGCGAAGGGAATGTCTGAAAGTGCCTATATAATAAAAACTGATTGCATTTTCTCCTCTTGCCTCTGGCACTAGGAAATGCCCAGTGAGCATCAACTCTGCAGGTAAACCTGGAGCCCCTGGGGTTTCTGGAGAGAGAGCTGAAGCCGGTCATCCCATCATTGCAAAGGATGCAGTCCTATGCCAAGGGGCCACTATTCCCGAAAGCCGCCAGAAGACATGAAAGCAAAGAAAGGTCAACAGCAATTACAGAGCCAGACATCGGTTCTGGCCTCCAGTGACTATTGGGGAGCCCATATTTCTTCAAGTAGCTTGTACACAAAAGGAAGACCCACTATCAAGGCTAGAATCAGTCTGCAAACCCTAGCAGATAAAAACACAGCCTTTTCCAATTTCAGTCTTAAACGCAAATAAAGCTTGTTTAATTGAGCTGGTGCTCTGATTCCCCAGAACTGGGAATCAAACAGGTCCAGGACATATGAGATGGTGATTGTCTCAGAGCAGAGACCTCCAGCATGCTCCCTGCATGGACACCTTTAGGGAGCTGCAGGAAATGATAATGATTTTCCAGGTGCCTCTCATATCCACAGGGAAGCAGCATCCCTGCTGGCTGCAAGGGAGCAATTCTGTTCTGGCTCATTAAGCTGCCATGGTACTCTTTGGGAGCTTGGATATCAACCCCAGTTTTTAGCCCATTTCCAAAGGCAGAAGTCCTTGTCCAGAGGCTCCTCAAATGCCTTTCTGTATCTCTCCTGAACTCCTGTGCATGTAGCTGAAGCAGCCATGTTGCAAGCAGCAGGTTGCAGCCTTTCAAGGAGGTTAAAAAACCTCTCTGCTTGTACAGGGCTTCGGGATCCCCTGGTAAGAAACACAGCAAATATAGATGATTACTGTTTTCTCTTGGCATGCAACTTAATTCTAGAAGAGATAGCTGAGAGGAGGAGTGATGAAAGGGGTGAAGAGGGCAGTGAATTACCATTTTAGGCAACACTGAAAGAGTGAGGCTCCTCCAGCAGCCTTGTTAAACTGGCAGCCTGCCTTTGCAGCAGGAAAAGCTCGCTGGGAGCAAATCAATTCAGTGGAATACAGGCAACCTACTCCAGCATGCCAGGCACCCTAAGGCAAAACTGGGTTGCAGGCAGCTCCCTTGCTGTGAGCCGGAGCAGATGCTCTGCACCGAAGGGTTGCTAAGCTAGCACAGTGTTCATAATGATGAAGGGCAAGAGCAAGGGACGCACAACAGAGAAATGTCAAGTGTCCAGGGGTGTTGCTTTGTTCCCCAATAACCTCTTATTTTCTTGGTTTCACTGGAAATAACCAGGACTGAAATGCTCATCCTGCTGGATAAGCAAGAAGTGCACTGCTTGTTGAGCTATGGTCAAGCCTGTAAGTATTTGTTTTAAGTCTATTTTTATTTAGCCTTGAGGAAGGGAGGAATGTCCTTCCTTACAAAAGCCAAAGTGCTGGGGGAGAGACCAGTGTTCTTACACTGTTACTGTACTATCCTGTGTGGTCACAGCTCAAGAAGGGGTACTCCATGGTTCCTGCAATGCTGTCTCATTGCTGCAGGTTCTCATCAAATCCACACGCCTCCAGAAGGCAGAGAGGCTTCTTTCACCAGCGGTGAAGTCAGAGCATCCCACGATGGCAGTGATGCACTGTGGAATTTTTTTCACTTGTTGGGTAAATACAGAAAGAAAATTTGAAGTGGTTTGTTTTTTTTTTTCCACTTTAAAAAATGTGGATGTTGTCATGAAGTTGCCTGATCTGGTGTGGATGAAAGGCAAGAAAGGCTCATATTGGAGTGGACTGATGCACAAGGATCAATGACAAGCTGAAATACAAACCAGCATCCATAGAATAGGGGAACAGTGGGTGAACAGACCTCACATTAAGAGAGGCAAGAACTGAGAAGGTCAAAAATCCTAAACACCACAGTACAACACTATGATGCACGACACATGCAAAGTCTGCTTTCCCACTGTAGTGTGAGGGCTATGAATAGAACATCCTGGTCAATAACCACTGCTGGCTCGTTTTGAAAGGGCTGTCAGAACTGAGGAGCACACTCATAACCTGCTTTCTGACTCACAGATAGCCCTTCACCCCTCTGTAGCGCCCTGACCAGCAGCTGACAACAGGCATCCCTGCAGGTAGTCAGCCGCCTTGTGTTGCACCATGCCCATGGCAGCTGCACTCTCATTTTTCTATAGGGATATACTTTCCACAATGCTTCCTCTGCTGCAAAGAGAACCATAGGGCAGCAGTGTCCAGGTGGAGAAAGAGAAGCAGAAAGACAGCCTGCCTGAGGTCACATGAGCCAGGAGCAGCAGGCAGAAGCAGCATGAGTCCTGTATCCTGACCTGTGCTTCAGCCCTCAGCCCAGGCTTCCTACCCTGTGAAAAACACCCTCTACTCTACCCTCCAGATCCAGTCACATTTACATTTTTATTTAAATCTACAAAGTGCAACATGTAACACAAGTGATGAAAATAGCAAGCCTTGCTAGATTAGGACACAGCTTTATTTTCAGCAGGTCTCATCTCACTGCTGAATGACTGCCTCCAAGCTTAGCCGTGCAATCACAGACTCAGTGGGAGTCCTGCTTGTAGTCTTCACCTTAGCCCATGTTGACAGCTAATTGACCACTCACTTGCTGGATTAACATTGCAAAGGACACACAAATAACCTGGTATGAAAGACAGCATTTCATGGTTAATTATAATTATTAGGAGTATTTCATTAACCAAAATGGCTAACAACACCAGGCTG